CGTCCCCACAGTGCACAGACCGCGCCGTATGACGCGTAGCAAACCAGCAATACCATACGATATGAACAAAGAATGCTCATCACTTGTCATGACACCGGTATATGCAATACATGGATGCTATCCTTCCTCTCTCCCGCTGTGTGCCTATCGGAGTCGTCGCCTGGCAGAGAGAGCGCGCAGAGACTTGTTGCTGCGTGTCGTGGAGGCTGCGCTGTTCTGTCAAGCACACCAGGTGCCCGAGAGCTCGCACCACGTGTCGCAGAGCTGCGGCACCTGGCACGTGAGCTCTGGTGCCCAGGCGCCGCAACGCCGCAGGCACACGTTATCGGTGGCGTGGACCCGCAGCTGCCGCGCTCCCATGTACGACGTGAAGGTCAAAGTAGGTCGGGTGGGGCGAGCCATCCTCTCTCACGACGCGCGTCAGGATGTAGCTCACGCGTGCGCCTCCAAACGGTCCATCCGCGGCAAACACGGTGTCCCTCCGCCAGCGGTCCTTGTCGAGCTTTGTGATGAGCCACTGGTAGTCAGGGCTGGTCGCCCTCAGCATGCCGTGCGTTGCGTTGCCAAAGGTCATGTGGATCGGTGTGTCCACCTCATCGGCGGCGTTAAAGATGCGCCCAGCGTACGAGTTGAAGGTGTCGGATTAGGCCCAGTGATGCATCCGATTGTAGGCGAGGCCGATCTCAGCCGGCAGTGTCGAAGAGTTGCTCGATGCGTCGGCAAAGGTCATGAGCTCCTCGAATGCCCCGTGTGCGTACAGCTTGACCGCCGGGTTCTCCCACGAAAGATCTCCGCGCTCGGAGTCGTCGAGGGGCTGGTATCGAATCCACCACACACCGCCCAGGTCGAGCACGGGCGGCGAGTGCAGGTTGGACGCGTCGCCGACCACGACTGGCGGTGTCACCCCATCCATAATCGCAGTCGACGGAATCACCTGCTCCGCCGTGTAAGTGGCCACGCCGCACTCCCTCGCCGCGGCGACTCCTGCGAGCATGTACTGGAGCTTGATCAGCAGTCGCGGGGTAATAGGCCGCCACCTTCCGCCGGGCCCACCCTCTTCGTCACACCCTGACTGAACTGTCGCCCCACCATGCAGGTGCGCGATCGCCCCACCATGCAGGTGCGCCACCTACACCGCCTGCTATCGCCACCCTGCCTTCGCGATCGCCACCTGGTTGTCGGCGTTGATAGCGAGGTTCCCCAGCGCCGCCGCGGCCACCTCCTTCTGCCCGTCCGT